CTTTCACTTTCTACAGTTCCTTGTTTTATGTTTATAGTTTCTTACCTGACCTTTGATAAAAATCTTATCTCTATCTAGCTCTGTTGATTTTATTCTTGTCTAGGTTAGTCTCTGTGTTCCATTATAAGGGCTAGTTTGTTGTCTCTATTCCAAGGTCATTATCCTATTGTTCTACTGTTAAGCTATAAGGAAATAACTGAAGGAGATTTTCCTATTAAATGGCCTAAGTAAGGATTATGTAGCTTAAGCGTGATTGTTCGTAGTTAAGGTGATTACCCGCCTGACATTTAGTTAAGGGGTTTTACTGATTTATTCCCTTCCCTAGACCTGTTAATCCCTAACTCCAGGGAAACATTCCCACCTGGGGAAACAACATTTCTAGGGGAGGTGGCTCTGGTTATAACACATAGTGCTAAAAAGGGGGAGCAAACATATTAAGAACAGTATGCCATATATGCCAGGTCCCTTGAAACATATGCTGTGCAGATGTTTCTTCCCCGCAGCGACTGTGTCAAGCAGCAGGGGTGGAACGGCTTCCCATTCTGCTAAAATCATTACTATATAGTTCCCCCTTTTTCCCTACTGAACTGGCAAGTGTCCTGTTCAAAGCTGTATACATCACATGACTCTAGATGTCCTGCAACACAAACTCCACATCAGAAAAAAAAAATGTGATTTTCACAAATAAACCTAGATGCAGAGATTGTAGTTTAGTGTATAGATTCAAGGGGCTAGTGGGGTGACCTTGGGTGTGGGATACAGAACATAGCGCTGACATCAGAAAGGCTTTCTCAGAGATCCATGTGCTGTCACTGGCAGCAGTTGCCATAAGCAATGCCACCGGCTCACTGACAAAAGCAGGAGGAAAACTAAGCATTTGTATTTAGCAAAGACAATGCCTCACACACTAAATATTCAACCACAAAAGTAATAAACAACATTGATTGCATATGTTAGATGTTTTCCTTTTAAAAGTGATGAAAAATCTAATTTATGCAAAAAAAAAATAATGTGTTTTTTTTTCTGAAAGAAAAAAAAATGTCAAAGTTGACTGCCTTCCAGATACAGCATGAAGTCAAGACAACATCTTACTTTTATTTTAAGATCTTGGAGAAGAAATATCAATTATGAAGTGTTTGTAAGTTCCTGTAATCTCCTTTCACACTGTCAGAGACAGCAGCTGCTATTGTCCTTAACTCTTTCAGTACATTGGCAAATGGGGAACTTTTACAGCTACACCCCCTGCTGCTTTCACAAATCCAGGGACCACTTAAAACAGGGGTCCTCAAACTACTGCCCGGGGGCCACATACAAATGCAAATATTGTATTTGTTCCCGTTTTGTATTTTTACTTCAAAATGAGATATGTGCAGTGTGCATAGGAATTTGTTCATAGTTTTTTTTAAAGCTGTAGTCAGGTCCTCTAACGGTCTGAGGGACAATATTTAAAAAGTTTGAGGACCCCTGACTTAAAATGTAACAAATATTCTTACCTATAAACTATACAGCAAGATACTGGGGGCTAGAATTGGCCCATGGATAACATCTGGACTTGAGAAGTGCACCATGCTGACCCGCCAATGGTAACACAAGCTTATATTAGGAGGATGTTTCAAAAGTCTAAATGTTTTTTCAAAAGCACTAGAACATCATTCGTACCTACACCAAACCCCAGCCTCTTTGGAAAAAGAAAACCCAATTCTCTAATGAGATTATTAGGTACTTAAGCAAGTTTCTTTGCAACATCAAAATAAACATATTTAGGGGTTTATTCATGTAGGGAAAGCTAGGAAAGGTTTGGTGCTATAAACACTATGACAGTTCTTGATATAAAAGGCCTATAGTAGAAGTGTACAGGTCCAGTTCTTCAGGTTACATACAAATAACTATTAGACATACTTCTTAGCATAGGAAAAATATATCTTTTAATAATAAAGGTATAATAAGATACATTGGAAACTATATCCAGCAACTGAAGTTTTCTCACCTTATTTGCAACCACAAAGGCTCTGAGTCTGTAGATCACATCAGCTTCAGAAAACCTTTCCAGGTGTCAGCAGCTGCTCTATATGTAACTGAACAGAAAATGGAGGTTTGTCTACCTGTCACAATGAAAGCCAAACTCATGAGGCAGGTGCTTGTGGAAAAGAAAAGAGGATTTATTCAGGACTATATGACCTGGGAGAATGGCAGGCTCCTGTCTCAAAGAGCAATGCCTTCACCCTCTGTCTTAATGACCATCTCTTCTTCCTGCTCAAGCCTGCTGTTATATGGATAGTGAGAGGAGGGGTTTCCCCCTATCCGATTATCTTGCTGGCTCTTGGTGTACTCATGGCCCTATCCATTCACATTTCCAGCTTTTGGCAGCTCAGTGTAAGAACCTCCCCCTAACGCCATCTTGGCCAATGGGAGACACTCTCCTGGGCCCCAGCTGACTGTCTGCTCCTATGGTAACAACTCCCCTTTCCAAATTCTGGATCCTTGCAATCTCACAGGGTAAATGAATGAAGGTCTCATCTTCTGTGGTTTCTTCCTGCTGTCAAATGGCATAGTCTCACCTATGCCTGGGTCCAGGGATTCTTACTGTCTAATAAAAGAAGGGGGGGGAGGGGGACAGTCAAGAATGGAGGTAAGTCTTTACAGGAGGAAGATTGTTGTCTTCTGAAGATGGCATACGCAGTGTCTAGCGGATGGGGCTACTGAAATAGCGGAGTTGGTTAAGGGCTTTATATTGCAAGAGGCAGTGCTTCCAATGTGAGACCTATTTTGCAGACAAACAATCAAATCTTTAGTGAGGGGTATGCCCTGTAGTGTGTGTGGGGGTAAATGTAGTGAAATCAGAAACTGGGGAGACTAAAGGACCCCCATCATTTAATCCTGAGCATGGCTTTGGGTGTCATTCTCAATAGCAGGATAAGTTTGCTAAGAAAGTCCCTTTCTGGAAAATGCAGAATAAAATGAAAAGTCACATTGTCACTTAGCTTTGGGAGGCTGTTCCTATCCGAAAGAGGAATTTTAGAACTCTTTCAGGAGTGCAGGCCCAGCTTTGCCTTGCAGTATCAGCAGCTGCAGCAAGATCTGAATCCTCCTCAGGTGGTACCCACTTCATCTGTGTGGGGTGGATCCAAGGACTGAGTCCCGTGAGCTTTTGGAAGGAGTGCGTTCTCAGCAGGACATCGTAGGGACTGGCCTATTGCTCAGCTAACTGCTGCTCAGGACCTTAAGTCTTCCAGGTCTTTAGTAAGATTTGGTCTCCCAGCTAGAATGCGTGTAAGGGCCTGTCAGATATGTAGATGGACCTGCAATGAGCAAACTTGTGCAAAATTGTCAGCTTTGCCCTAGGTGTTGTTCATATTGTTTGACTTTTAATTCATGTTCTAAATCCAAAGAAGGTGTCCCTAACACAGGAACTTGGAAGGGTCTCCCATAAACTGTCTCAAAGGGTTTGAGTTTGCTCTGGGGCACTACCCTACCCTGAAGCAAGACAATAGAGAGCACCTGGTCCCATTTCAAATGTGTTTCCTGCATATTTTCACCAGGGTCTTTCTTGTGTGGTTCATTTTCTTATTCTTCCCATAGATCGAGGCCTCCAAGATGCATGTAGTTTCCATTGAATCTGTAGTGCATGTCCTACCTTCTGGGAGATTTCTGAATTGAACAATGGTTTATTGTCACTTTGAATGCTATAAGGGAGTTAAAACATAGGAATTACTTCTTTGAGTAGAAGTTTTGCTACCTCAGTTTCCTTCTTAGTTCTAGTGGGTTATTCCTCTACCCATCCAGAAAAATTGTGTCTACAAAAATTACTAAAAATTTAAAGTTTCCTATGGTTTTAGGCATCTGTGTGAAGTTAACTTGCCAGTCCTCAAATAAGCATATCCATTTATGTTATACTCCCTTTCCCATAGGGGCACGTTCTGTCTTAGAATTGCTTCTGGTGCCTATCAGACAGGCTTGGATAACATTCTGAATGGTCCTTTGTAAACGAGGGCCCTTCAAATGATGCCTAATGAGGTCCACTAAAGCATAGTTTCCATAACGGGTCCATTCATGTAGGTGTTTGAAGATGGGATATACTGGAGTCTCAGGGAATGAGAACATACCATGATTGTTGATTTTCCATATAGAATTAGGGTCAGTGCTAGAGAATCCCCATGAATAGCTCTTTCCTCATCTCATTGTGTATAAGAGAGTTTAAACTCTGACAAGTTCAGGTGGGGAATTAAAGCCCCAAGAATTGTTGGACCTCAGGAGGCTTGTCTTGGGGTTTTGATTTTCCACTTCAAGAAGAATTAATACCTATCATTCTAAAATTCTTCCAAAATTTCAATAAGCAGGGAATGCTTTCAAATTTACTTTATGAGACCAGAATTGCTGTATACCAAAACTAGACAAGGACACTCTAAGGTTGAAAATTCTAACCCAATATCATTGATGAACACAGTTACAAAAATCCTCAACAAAATATTAGCACAATAGAGTCAACATTTAAAAGATCATGCACCATGATCAATAAAATTTATTGCACAAGTGCAAGGATAGCTTAATATTCACAAATCAATCATGTTAAGAAAATGAAGGACAAATATATGATTATTTCAATAGATGAAGGAAAAGTATTTGACAATATTCAATATGCATTCATGATAAAGACTTTGAACTAACTGGGTATAGAGGAAAACTACCTCAACATATTGGAGGCCACATATGACACAGCTAACATCATTGTCAACAGTAAAAAGTTGAAAGCTTTTTCTCTAAGATCAGAAACACAATGATTCCCACTTTTATTCAACATGGTTCTGGAAGCCTTAGCCAGAGCAATTAGGCAAGAGAAAGCAATAGAAGTGATTTTAATCTGTCTGTGTGCCATAGCTTCATCTTGAGAACGAACCAGTAAGATAGACAAAAATAACTGTGGCTGCTGGGAGAATTGTGATCATCTTTGGGGCCAAATGTCATCACTACTCAGGGAAGGGTAGCCCTATGAAGTACATCAGTCAATTCTCCTCCACATGGACGATGCTTAAGCGCCCTGCACCAGAGGACCAAAGTCTGAAAAGTGGTCTAAGGACACCATTAAATGTGTTCTTGGGAAAGCTGAAAATATAGGACCCATCTGTCATGTTACAGAAAGATACTTCTCCAGCCTCATAATCCAGGACTATCCCCACACTAAGGGGTCTTTCTGTTAGAGTAAGATGAGTTTCTGGGGAGGTGAGAGCCCAGTATTCCCCGTCATAGAGCCTGATGGCCCAGAAACCATTCTGTGGGGACATTGTGACCCTCCCCTTCCTTTTTACATTATCCCTACAAATTCCCAGGTCCCAGGACTGCGTGTCCCCAACCTCTACCTCCCAGTGGCATTTCCCTGAGCTGATGCCCTGCTGACCCAGCACACAGGGAAGGGAGGCAAATCTCTGCGAGGAGCGGGGTAGATTCTGACAAGGCTCTTGCCAGGTTACTCGTTTCCCATCTTCAGACAGGAGGAGGGCAGGATGGGCAGTGGCTGCATTCAGAGTCACATTTACTGCAAAGACAAATGGACCATCATGTTTCCTGGAAAAGTCTCAGTTGCCTGGGCCAGGGGGTCCCCATTCTGTGAGGGCTTCTCTGGTTCTGGGCAGACCCAACGCTCCTCCACTCATCTTCCCCTGACAGCACCTCCAAAGGAGCAGGGTCCCTCTGTACCACCATACACTCACCAGCTCTCGATCCTTCTTTCTTCCAAGCTGCAAGAGACATATCAACATGAAAACCCACCACCTGAAATATATAACGCTTTCTGTCCTCCCAGAATATCTGAGTATGAATTCCGAAGCATTAATTCAGGAATGAAAGCACCAATGGAAATATTTGTCCACGTACTTGCACCTCTTTTTACAGCCCACTGAGTTATATCTGACTTGAGGAACTGACTCTTCCTTATGTTCTTCATCTAAACTTTGCATCTGGTAAGCGTCTATAACCTATTTAGGAAACTGGAAAGAAATAAAGAATACTACCTGTATAGCCAAATACATGTTTTTGCTATAGTTACCTCATCCTTTATCTATCAGAGCATAATGTGAGATACAATATTTTTATAAAGCTGCTATTTGTCTTTCTCTGACTGGATTGTTTAACTTAGCATAATAATCTCTAGGTCCATCTATGCTGTCAAAAAAAGTAAGAGGTTTTATTTTTTACTGCCATGGAGTATTCTACAAACACCATATGATCTCACTTATATATGGACTCGAATGATAAAATTAACCGTCAAACAAAATAGAAATAGAGGCATGAATATGTGGAACACTGACAACTCTCAGCATGGAAGGGGGGATGGACAAAAGAATGTGATGGGATGAGCTAAACAACATTATGCGGAACCCACAGACACAGACAACAGTGTGGTGATGGCCAGAGGAAAGGGGGAGTGGGGCTGGGTGGAGATGAGCGATGAGAGGGGGTAATGGGGATATCTATAATAATGTCAACATTAAAAGTGAAGTTAAATAAAACCATTATAATTTAATATTTCAAACACCTTTGTTAACATATTGAATAATCTATTGGTTTAATGAAATGTATGTTTTGGAGTTTCTTTGATTTTTAATATATTTTCTTCCACACTCTACGTGTTAATTTAAGATATCTTTGATAATAGCATATTCATCAACAGAGTCCATGTCACTCACCAGCATAGAATGATTTAGACCCAACTGCAAAAGAACAAAAGAGAAAATCATTATTGTTTTCTTTCCTTTTGTGTTTTCTCTGATTGCCTCTTCCATTTAACTCTGTTTTTGTCATATTTCTTCTTCTGACTCATTTGGACCTTCTCTTTCTCTACTATATCTTCATATTCCATTTTTTTTTAAACATGATGATAAAACTTAGGTGAAGGATAGCTAGAAATGGGAAAGCAACTAAAGGTGGGAGGGGAGGATGAAAGTGGAAGGAGTGTGGCTAACATAAAGGCAGGAAGGAAGGAGGAGAAGGGGAAGAACTTGTGGCTTCAACTTTAGAAAATATGGAAGTTTAAAAAGATAATGCTTCTTTGCTTACTAAAGTATATTTTATTGTATTACTGTACTGCATTCTACTGCTATAGGTGTAGAATAGAACAAAGACAGAAGAATGGAAACTTTGAGAGGTAAGTATAACTCATAGGACTTGAATTGAGCCTTCCTCCCATCATCCAGTTGGAGGAGCAAGATTAATTAAGATGGGAAATGACATCATGAGAGAAAGTAGATACGCCTTTCTGTGCTATAAACAATATCAATCATTTGTCATTCATTGAACCTTCTACCATTTTGCAGAATAAAATGCAAACACACTCACATGTACAAGACAGATATTTTAAAAAGTAATGAGGAGAATACAGTAAAAGCATCCATCTGACCAAAACTGCATCTGCAGCACTAGTCACGGAAGCCTGCCACATACATTAAAGAGATATATTCTCAAATACCATTCAATCTAAAAACAAAATATATTAAAAATTTTATTGATAAAGGGGAAAATTATACTTTCAGAAACATCTGAAGATGTTAGCTTCTCGAGTCATTTACAGAAAATAAATATATATATATATATATATATATATATATATATATATATATCTTAAAGAATTCTTCTGTATTCATAAAATGTTTGCATTTTGTAGAATTATTTACTATGCCAATAAAGTGCATAAATATAAAGAATAAACACTATGGTGGGTAGAAAATAAGCCAGGAAAATTGTATAAAATAATTTGTATACTGCTCTGTTTTTCTCTTTTTTTGCTAAATCCCTCCAACAACATGTTGATTGCTGGAGGGAGAGGTTGGGGAGTTGGAAGGGGCTTAAATGGTGATGGATGGAGACTTGACTTGGGGTGGTGAACACATAATACAGAGAACAGATGATATGCTGTGGAATTTTGCAAATCAAACCTGTATAATTGTGTTAATCAGTGTCACTCCAATAAATTCAATAAAAAAGGGAAATATTTGTATACTTGTGAACCCTTAGGCTATATGATCAAGGGGAGTGGAAGATTGAGCCTCATGTTTACAGTTGACCAAAGAATGACATCAGAATTTATACATCTCAGGTAGGACAATGGATAGAGAAACTTACTCAGCAAGTTTGTTGACTACTCCCATCTCTTAAGGTTTGGGGATGTATCAGTTACATAGAAATAGGCTCTACTACATGAGAGGTATGAGAGAGAGAGTGGGCAGAGGGAGAAACTCTGAGTATTTCAATCTAATACTGTTTATATCACCACTGCTTAGTGAAAATATAACAAGTCTCTGGAAAAAAACAAAACAAAACAAAACAAAACCCAAAAAACAAAACAAACAAACAAAGAAACACAACAAGCCAATGCTTATAAGGGAGAAATGAGTAATATGGAATGAAAAAAGAAGAAATAGGAAAGAATGGGACGTAAATGTAGAGAACTTAATATAGGAGAAGTCCATGTATAAAAGTTTGTTAAAAAGGAGAAAATTTATTAAATGGAGAAAAAAAACTTAGTAATATTAGTATGATGACTACCTTTAAATTGTTCTTAGACCCTTAATACTCAATATTATTTAGACTTTTATTATTTGACTAGAGGCTCAATGCATGAAATTCATGTAAGAGTGGGGCTTCCTTCCCTCGTCTGCTGGCACCGGCTTCTCTCTGGCACCTGGGACCTGGGCTCCCCTCTGGCCACTGGCAGGCACCCGGGAACCAGGCTTCCCTTGCAGCCCCAGCTTTGTCCCGAAGGTCATCTGGTATAATTAGCATATTATGCTTTTATTATTATAGATTAGTCAATTCTTATTATTGCATAGCTATGTGGTATAAAGTTGCTTAAAGCACTGAATTAGATAATACTGAACCACTGGTGTTAAGAAAATGTGCGGTTAGTTTCCAAACACATCTAATCACAATATTTTTGTCCATCTGTGGACAAAACCTACTTGTATTTGCATTTCTATTTTAATATATGCCTAAATGAGCTAATGTAAACAAAATCACTTGAAAGAAAGAGAATTGAGGTACTGACAGTGGAAGATTTAAAAATCAAATTACCTAAGTCTTTTTTGGAGAAAATTCATACATCAGAAATATTAAAAGTGCAAAACTTATCAGGTAAATTGTTAATAAAATTATATCGACAGAATGGATCTGTCCACATTGATTGCAACAGTAGCAGAAATCAGAGGTAGTATGGGAGAAACTGAACAACAATTGATGATGGCAACTTCAGCTTAGAAGATAACAAAGCAAAATGATAAAAATGTATATTTAGTTAAAAATATGATCATTGAGAATTGAAGGCAAAGATAAAGCAAAAATGAAGAGGGGGGAGCCAACATATAGAGAAAAGATGAAACAATTAAATACACAGTGAAATACATTAATTGAACTTACCTTTTTCTTGTTCAGCCTTGTCTGAAAAATAAAAGAAAGAACCAATTCATTAAGAATGAGAGCACAATGTCAGGAAGGAGAACAAAAATTTGAAACCCTTTTATAGTTTGCTCTATGGTTCAAATTGATCTATACCTCTGCTTCATCAAACAGAGACAAAACTGTTTTACATTCTCCCACCTATTGGTGCAAAAGGAATCTAATCTAATCATAAACAAACATGGTAATGGACCATACCTTCGCTACGCCTCCCGTTGGCTAATCAGCATGATATGCAAATTAACCACCAACAAATATGGTGACCAATTTGCATACTGCAGGCAGATCCCGCTGCACAGCCCCAGCACGGGATCCGGGCCTGCTGTGTCTTGGGCGGGGTGGGCGGGGTGGGTTGGGTGGGCGCCAGTACGATCTGAGCGGCTGCTAGCCCCAGCCCGGGATCCAGGCCAGCCATCTGCTACTGGAAGAGACAGGGCAGACACTGCAGGATTGGGCGTGCCATCTGCCAACCAGGGAGCGGCCCTAAGCCAGCAGGTGGTTATCTTCTGAGGGATCCCAGACTGTGAGAGGGCACAGGTTGGGCTGAGGGACCCCCACTGCCAGTGCACAAATTTTTGTGCACAGGGCTTCTAGTCCTATCTAATAAAAGAGCAATATGCAAATTAACCATCACTCCATCACTCTGTCACAAAGATGGCTACAGCCACAAAGCTGGAGTGAGCAGGAGGTTTGGGTTGCCCCCAGCAATGGAGGAAGCCAAGCTTCCTGCCTGCCCTGCGGGTCATGAGCTCCGCTCAAGGCTACAAAGTTTCAATTATAGAAGAAATATAAATCCCAGAAAAAAAAAGAAAAAAAGGAGAGGCTGGGGCTTGGGTCGCCGGGTGGCGTGGCCAGCCTGAAAACGGCCCTCAGCCCCTCACCCAGGCTGGCCAGGCACCCCAGTAGGGACCCTCACTCTGAAGGAGGTGTGGCCAGCCTGCAAACAGCCAGCAATCCCTCACCCAGGTTGGACACACCCCTATGAAGTGAGGGTCCCCGCTGGGCAGCTTGGCCAGCCTGAAAACAGTCCTCAGCCCCTCACCCAGGCTGGCCACACCCTCATGGGGTGAGGATCCCCACTGGGGGGCTTGACCACCCTGCAAACAGCCATCAGCCCCTCACCCAGGCTGGCCAGGCACCCCAGCGGGACTCCCACCCTGATTCGGGACACCCTTCAGGGAAACCAGCGGGCCCCCACCGGGGGAATCAACATATAGAGAAAAAGACAGGGAATGGCAAAGACACCAAGAAATAAGTCAGAGTTTTTGGATATAGAGTTGTCAGAAAAATATACGAAATAATTTCTTAAGATCATCCAGCAAATAAAATAATAATATCTGTGTAGCTCAGCTGGTGTTGCTCAGTGGTTGAGCATCAATCTATGAACCAGAAGGTCATAGTTTGATTCTCCATAAGAGCATATGCTGAGGTTGCAGGCTCAATCCCTAGTAGAGAGCATGCAGGAGGCAGCTGATCAATGATTCTCTCTCATAATTGATGTTCCTACCTATCTCTCTCGCTCTGAAATAAAAAATATAAAAAATAACATAAATATGTGAAAGTCCAATAAAAACAAGCATACAAATGAATTTTTTGAAAAATTTGAACATAATGTTAAACATAGTCAGATGTAGATAAACACATACATGTATATACATCATGCATACAAAATAAAGGTACCAACAGTGACAGATGGCTGCTCCCTTTCATCTAGAGAATATTCTACCCCAAAATGAGAAAATAAGTGAATTTACTAAATTGAGAAAAAAATAGGAATAATAATCTTGGTAGTTACCTTTTCAAAATGTACATGACTGATTTAAATTTTATTTAGACTTTTATTACTCAGTGTGCTTGCTTTAATATGGTTTTTGGCTGCTACTAAAATTTATGTAGTCAGTTCTCATTTTTGTTATAGCTATGTTGTATAATAGAGCCAAAAAAAGCAAAACTGAGAAGCTTGAACCCTTGTTCCTAGAGAAAATACGAAATTCAATGCCTGAGTGTCCTGAACATGTTTTGTCAACTTATGAATACAGAATTTTGTTTTATGTGGGTTTCTATTTCAATTCATGCCCCAAATGCAACTCATCTTCATTAAATCTCATGAAAGGAAAGGAATGCTCTTTAAATATTTTTTGTAGATTAAATTTATTGGGATGATGTTGGTTAATACGATTATGTGGTACTAATAGTGTAGTGCTATGATAACATCATCTGCGTATGCCATTGTGGGCTTACCACCCAAAGTCAGCTCTACTTCCTTGGCCATATATTTCAACCTCCTTTATCCTGTACTACCCACCTCTTCCCTCTAGTAACCACCATACAGTTGTCTGTGTCTATGAGGTTTTTCTCTTTTTAAACTTTATTATGGAGAATATTACAGAAGTCCCTTCACCCCCTCACCCCCTCGCACCCCCCCTAGCCCTCTATAACCTTCTTCTACAGCCTCACACCCAGGTCTTCAAGACACTTTTATAATTGTACATGGGCTATGCATATATGCTTTTAAGTTCTTTGGTTAATCTTTCCAGGCAACCTGTAACTGCCCTCCCCCTGACACACACACCCAATGCCTCTGAGAATCCTCAGTTAGTTCCATGCTTTCCTGTCTCTGTGAGGTTTTGTTTGATTGTCTTGTGTGCTCATTTTGTGCTTTCAGTTTCATATGCCACATGTGAGTGAAATCATATGGTTCTTGACTTTGTCTGCTCAGCATGATATTCTCAAGATCCACCCCTGTTGTCGCTAATGGCAGTATTTCATCTCCCAAGGAGACATACAAATGCTCAGCAGGTATTTGAAAAGATCCTGTACTGCACTAGCCATTAGGGAAATTCAAATCAAAACTGTAATGAGATACCTCCTCACACCTGTTAGAGTGGCTGTTGTCAATAAGTCTAGTAATAACAAATGTTGGAGAGGTTGTGGAGGAAAGGGAAGCCTCATTTACTGCTGGTGGGAATGTGAACTGGTACAGCTACTGTGGGAAACAGTATGGAGGTTAATCAAAAATTAGAATAGAGATCTCATATGACCCAGCAACACCTTCTAAGCATACTTACCCCCAAAATTTGAAAATATTTCTTCCCAATGATATATGCACTACTCTGTTCACTGAAGCATTAGTCACAGTGGACTAGACATGGAAGCAAGCCAAGTGTCCTTCAATACATGCTAGGGTAAAGATGAAGTGGTACCTATATACAATGGGATACTACTCAGACATAAGAATAAGGTTTTTATTTTAGTACTATAGACCCAGTGCATGATTAAATCGTACGAATGTAGGATCCCCTAGGCCTAGCCTGCCATCAGGGCCTTGTCGGCCGCACCACAAAGCCTTGCATGCTCCATGGACACTGCCGGCATCCCGCCCCAGATGTCCACAGATGCTGCTGGCATGCTGCCCCGACCATCGTGAGAGCCGCTGCACGCTGGTCATGAAGCCATAGTATGGAGGTTCCACAAAAATTAAGAATAGAGATACCATATGACCCAATGTCACGGCCACAGACCTTTAATGACATAGAAGATATCTGGCTGCAGGTAAATATAGTCAGTTCTTCTATTGTGGGAGCTGGCCATACAACACTACCACAAATAATGATTCATCGAATCCTGAACCACTGCTCCTATTGGTTATGCAGATTAGGTTAATGGGTACCTTTATCCTCAATGTGTTGTCCCTCATGAATAGAGATCCAACAATACCTTATATGGATACTTAAGCCCCACATTTGAAAATATTTCTTCCCAATGACATATGGACTCCTATGTTCACCGTAGCATTAGTCACAGTGGACAAGACATGGAAGCAAGCCAAGTGTCATTCTCTACATGCTTGGATAAAGAAGAAGTGGTGCCTGTATACAATGGGATACTACTCAACCGTAAGAATAAGCTTTTTATTTTAATAAGATCTCTGCTTGTGGCTAAATATATATAGTCAGTTCTATTGTGTTCGCTGGCCGTATAAAACTGCTACAAACTATGATTCATAGAATCCTGAACTACTGCTCCTATTTGTTATGCAGATTAGGATAATGGGTACCTCTATCCTCAATGTATTGTCAAAGGGTCCATACATAACATTATTGTATGTGAGCCTGATTTTAACTCATTCTTGAACAAACTGTACCATAAGCAATTCAGAGGGAAGGGAGGTGAAGTATTAAATGGCAGAAATGGCTGGCTGGGGATGGGGAAGGGGAGAAGTCTACATTGTATGGCTGGAGAGGGGTAGGAAGGGAGGTCTACATTGTATGGCCTGGAACTATATTGGACAAGACTTTCAGATAAGATACATTAAAAGTAGCAAAATTTTGCAAAAGTAATTACTAAAATTTACTTTTCAGAAAGGAAATGTTTGCATACATTAAAAGGACAGGACAATCAAAGAAATAATCATGGGGGAAAGCAAATAACAAATGAAAATAGTAAACTTATGTTCAAATCATACCAATACATGAAAAAGTGACGTACATGTGCGTTGTGGAGTAAGGAAGATGATCCTTGAGAGTTGAAAACAAATGCAAAATAAACACATGAAATTGAGTAAGTGCAAAGTGAAATACCTTCAAGGGACTTGTCTTTATCCTGGTCACCTTTAACTGAAAGAATGAAAGAAAGAGAAAAAAAAAACTGTTCAAACATGATGCAAGCATAATGTCATGAAGAGAAGAGGATGCTAATTTGAAACCCTTCTGTTGCATATTCTTTAATGGAACTGACCGACTTTTCTAAGAAGTGGAGCCAAAGGATCCTAAGGCCATGCAACAAATAAGAGCCAGTGTCACTCTCCATCTCCATACCCATTCGTGCCAAAGGCATGAGATGGGAAAGTAAGACCGACCAAAAGTAGAACTTCCTCTGGGGTAAACTATATCAATATTTGGTCTTGCTTCAGGCTTTCCACCTTTTCAGTCCTAAATTGCAAAAGTGCACATACCTGAGGGAGGTATTTTAAGTCTGATGCAGAAGCCTGTATATAGTACAAGTACCCGGCTATCAACACCTGTATCCGTATCAGTCATCATATGAAGCCTGCTTATAAACATAAGGAGCTCCCTTCCCAAATTCCATTGTATCTCTAAACTAAACATAATTGAAATGTAACATCAGAAAAGGAGGACATAAGATATTTATTGATTCTATTAGGTCTCCATGAAAAAACCTTTGGGGATCATGCTATGAGAAACAGCTTCTCATGTCATCCACATAGAGAAGCTGTTCTCAAACTGTGGGTCGCGACCCCTTTTGGTGTCAAAGGACCTTTCACAGGGGTCACCTAAGACCATCGGAAAACACATACATAATTACATATTGTTTTTTTGATTAATCACTATGCTTTAATTATGTTCAATTTGTAACAATGAAAATACATCCTACATATCAGATATTTACATTATGATTCATAACAGTAGCAAAATTACAGTTATGAAGTATCAACCAAAAATAATTTTATGGTTGGGGCTCACCACAACACAAGGAACTGTGTTAAAGGGTCGCGACATTAGGAAGGTTGAGAACCACTGACATAGAGAGTTCTGCGCTAAAGATACATCACACATAAACATTCCTTAAGATTTAACATCCTTTTGCAAACATAAAAAATCTTTTGCAATGTTGTGATTGAATACCTGAGCGAATAAAAATGCAAAAGAATAAAGAACATTTAATGGAGTTGGAAAGAAAAAGGCCAGAAAATATGATATGAATTATCTGTGCCACCTGGAATATGGTCCCCAGGGAGGTGAAAGAGTGGGCCATTAGGTCACACTCAGTCAATGAATGACATCGGAATTAGAAAATTGTGGCAGGACAGTGGAGTGGTCAAATGCACTCATTGCACATGGAATCTTCTCTCATCACTCAGTTTGCTTAAGATGAGCCTCTCAACTTGTAAAAAAAATGGCAGAGGTCCTACTTTAATGGGTATTTTACAGACAGAATATATAGAGTGGAAATCCTGTGCCTGTTAGCACAATCCTCTTCACCTCACAAGATTCAGAGTAAATATGGCAAGTTTCTGGGAAGCAGAAAATGTCAAAGTTTATAGGGAAGCACAGGTATTACATCGAAAAGGGAAGTCTCTGGGAAGGATGGAAAGTAAGAAAAATAAATATATGGAACTTAATATTTGAGAAGTATACAGACCAAAATAATTGAAGAAGAAGAAGTAGATGTCCTAAAGAAAGGTGAGCCAAGGAATGTCAATAGGGGAAAAGCAGATAATGCTAAGGCATCACATTGTTTTTAAAGGCATGGCAATAGAGGATTGTCAGAAAAAACTTACCAATTTTTTCCTGAAGATTTTCTGAAAAATAAAAGTGAAATTGTAAATATCATGGGAAACAAATATGAATGAAATTCAATTTCTTCTACAACATGCATGCAATATCAAACCTTTCATGTTGCAGAGGAACACACAACACAAACGTAGGAACAGTGGCTGAAAGTTCTTATTTGATCAGAGTAAGTGTTCCAAAATTCAAAGGGAGGAAAGGTCTGAATATAGTGAAATAAGCAAAAAAATTTAGAAATACAGTTCTGTTAATTACCTTATAAAATATTCTTATTTAATTTCAAGATTTTATAATTTGGGTTGGGGGCTTTGTATCTTTCACTAGTTCTTCAGTACTAAATATAACATAGGGTGGGCCAAAAGTATAGTTATGGTTGTTTGCTAAATAATATAATAATTATTAAATAAAAATGATAACAGAGGAAAGTCTGTATTTCATGTACTCACAACTTTAACCTACCTTGGAACCTGCCTGCAGTCATGTCTCATGATTTCAAAAGCCATGTTTATATTATAGTTGAACAATAGATTGACTTGGACAATATAGAAACAGGTGTTCTGGAGGAAATCTGTGTTAGGTTAGTAGGCATCTAGCAGAAGTGCAAAGCAAAGAATTGGCCAATCAGTATAAAGGCAGGAAAAGTTAGACAGATCAGGAAAGCTGTCATTTTAAAGTGTTTTGGAGTAAAGGCATATGAAAGAAAATTTACCCAATATCTTCAGAAGTTTGTCCGAAAAATGCAAAGGAAAAATTAATGTAAATTTTATGAAAAACACAAAAAAATAAAAAATATTGAAAACTACGTATTTAAACTTAGGATGCAGATACAAAACCAATAATGTGCCCACGCATTCACCCCAATCTGAGATGAGGTGGGTAGCTCCCACCGGTTTGGCGTAAGCCATCGTCTGTTGCTTCCATGGATTTGGAAGGCTGTTCTTTGGGCCCTGTTTGTCTGTGCCTGTTTCTCTGTTTTCTGTGGACTTACTGGATGGATGTTATGGGACGGACTCAGACTGCTCCTTTGGGTATTGTGATTGATCATTTCAAGGAGATTGGGGGAGGCTTTAGAGCTCCCTCAGGAGTTGGGAAGTTGTTAACCTCTGAATGAATGTCTGGTGAAAGTATGTGAGTGTAAAGGCAGGGGAGGGATCCCCGCCCACCCGCGCGCCCCCCCCAGGCAGGGAAGGTGAGCAGGGATCACTGCCTCGGGCCGCAGGAGAGGAAAGATGTGCCTGGATGCGGAGGCTGAGGCCGGCGCACCAAGGCTGCTTGCTGCGCAGTAGGGGCGGGCGCCCGGGGGCAGGTGTGCAGGAGCGCAGCCCTAGCCCGGGAGCCCGTCTGCACCGCGGGCCCAGGCGGCGGTGGTGGCAGCGGCGGCAGGCCGGCATTGGCCCCGGGCTTGTGGCGAGTGAGTGGAGCGCAGGGGGTGGGGCCAGCACGTCCCTCACGGGAGGCGGGAGTGGCGAGGCCCCCCAGCGGCGTCAGGTCCGGGGGGAGGTCGCCCCAGCTAGATCATAGAAGTTAAATGTAAAAGTTTTAAAATGCATCCGGGATTTCTGTGCATGTGTAAAGGGAAAAGGCCAGTTTAAAAACGAGTGCGCATAGTTTTGAGCTGAACCTGAGCTTTTTCTGTGTACAGAATAAAAACCCGAGACTGTTTTGGCCTTAAAAAGTGGAGGAGAAGAACTTGACAAAGAAATGCAGGCTGGTTTCCCAAGGCGATTTAAAATAGCTATTTTGAAATTTCCTGCCCCTAAGGCAAGTACCACCAGGAGGTTGATAGTCAAATTTACATGTGAATAGCTATGGGGGTTGCTTTTGATTTCCCCAGCAGAAAAATTGTGACCATTTTGAAATTTAGCGGCTATGCCAGGCTTATTGGCTGGAACCTTAAAACTTTTAAGTTCAAATCATCTATGAAGCAGGAATTATACTTGCCTCTTGGGTTTATTTTTAAGCTAATCTCTTAAATCTAGAAAACCCATCCTTAAACTAAGGACAATTAAAGGTTATGTCAAAGTCTTTAAAAGGGACTGATAGCAGTAATCCAATTTCTAAAGTACTCTAGATAATGTGTTTACCCACAGCTGTGGTTTGGATTGCATGCTGTCTCTGCTTCTGTAAACTGATCTGTCCTTATTGCTTAAATATGCATCCTTGCTGTTAAATTTGAATGTATTGTTAATCTGAGGAATGTTAATTATTTACATGTCACCTAAAAATTAAGGCTAAAAGTTCTAACTAACTGGAAAGCATGGCTTTGATGTAATGAAAAGAAAAAGGAATGTTAAACCAATAAGCTGGAACTGGTCACTGGTGGTGGATTGTGAGAAGGGCTGGAACTTCTCCTTCCTTGGTACCCCTAAAACATCAGAGGGTACTTCTGGCCTTGATTTTCTTGGTTTTGGATTTGTTTGTTTGTGATAAAAACCGTTTCTATCTAAATAAGACATAGGTCAAGAATCCTGTCCTGGAATGTGGGAAAGGGAAGACCCCCACATCTGTTCCTTTCAGGCCCCCATCAGGGGACTTGGGCGGTGTCCCTGTTATCTGCTCAAGATCCCAAGACTGTAAAAATATTTGTTCACTGAAAAGGTGTAAGTGTAAATGTTTATTTGATGTTTATAAGCATTTCTGTTTGTTTGCTGGGAACTTTGATTTTCTATGTGATATTCTGTGCTGGGTTGGGATTTTGGAATTCTGGGGTAAATTTAAAAGGTATTTGTGGCTTTTCTAGTCTGATTGGGACATTTAAGGATGGGGCTCACAGTTCCTCAAGGCAAAGATTTAATGGGCCCTTCCCCCTGCCTGTGCTGAATTAGATAATACAGGCCAGTACTGATTAAGGAAGACAATGGGCCTTGAAATCTGTAAAGATAGGCGGGAATGAAGCTGGTCTAATGTACTGAAAGGGTTTGGTCTAGCAAAGGAGGGGCTGATACTCCCTCCTAGCGCACTCCCTTGAAAGAGGCCTGGTTGCTGCTCTGCCACAAAGGGAATTGGTAGAAACAAACCATGGAACCTGGTGAGGGCCATGGAGTGAGACCCTCGCGAGGTCTGAGAGTCACTGGAGCAGCCAGCACCATGGGGCCCTGGGGAGAGCCAGAGCTCCTGGTGTGGCGCCCAGAGGCAGTAGCCTCGGCTCCCCCACCCCTGTGAGCCTGGAGGTGAAGTTGGGGGCCCTGGTGCTCCTGCTGGTGCTCACGCTCACCTGCAGTCTGGTGCCCATCTGTGTGCTACGCCGACCAGGAGCCAGCCCCAAAGCCTCAGCCTTCCGCCAGAAAGTCCTGAGCCTGGTAAGCTGCTTTGCTGGGGGTGTGTTTCTGGCCACTGGACCTGCTGCCTGACTAACTGTCTGCCATAGACGAGGCCCTGGCAGCCCTGCACGTGCGACCTGGGTCCATCACACCCACATCTGGTCAGCGGACCCATCCATGATCCGGAAAGACTTCGTTACCAAATGGAGCGTCGATCAAGATCAACGCAAACTGCTACCTGCCTGATGCTGGTAACATTGCTTGCGACTCAGATGATGCCTGCATCTTCATGGACATGGCTCCAAAGAGACAAGGACAATTTATAGGAAGGCCAAGAATAGACTTTAGTAAAATTTGGCTGCCTAAAGCGGCCATGATGCCAATATCATATTTCATTGTATTGATATGTTATATTGACCTTTACTTCTCTTGCAGGTTTGAATATATGTTGGCTGTCCTGGAAGGGAA